TGTTCGTGATGATGCAAGATATACAATGCCACGATACTCCAATGGTGAACTACAAGAGTTGAAGGTCAGTTATTTGTGGTGGTTGATTACCCATCCAAATAATGAACATGAGGGTGAAGTGATGTCGATGTTATCAGACTACAACAAGAGCAAGAAGCGGAGATAGAGTAGTCTATTAATTTTTTGTTTTGTTAGCCCATAATATGTGTTGTAAGATGATTGGCAAACAGGTCATTTTGTAACAAACTGGTCAAATTATGTATATAATATTATTACCTTTGTCATCACATGTTGTAATACTAATTTCTTAGGGTTTTATTACATTTTTAATTACATTTCGGTTTTATATGTGCATAGATATTAAGGGATAGTGTTTTATAAAATATTCTAATTTAATGACAAGTGATATAAGAATTTCATAACAAATGAATGTGTGGATATTAACAATTGATATTCAAAATTTTCATAACTAAAGGTATCTATATAAATAATGTTATAGTGCTCCATTGATAAGTCATACTGCGACCATTGACAAATTACAATGTTCTCATTAACAAGTCACAGTGCTCTATTGACAAGTCATAGTGCAACCATTGACAAGGGATAGTGTTCTTACTAACAAGTTACAGTGCTCCATTGACAAGTCATAGTGTGACCATCAACAAGGAAGTGTTCTCACTAACAAGTCACAGTGCTCCATTGACAAGTCATAGTACGACCGTTGACAAGGGACAATGTTCTCACTAACAAGTCACAGTGCTCTATTGACAAGTCATAGTGCCACCATTGAGAAGGGATAGTGTTCTCATTAACAAGACACAGAGCTCCATTGACAAGTCAGTGTGCTACTATTGACAAGTCACAGTGTCACTATTGACAAGGGATAAGAAAAGGTAAGTTTTTGACACTTTATTAATAATGATTATATATGACAATATAACCAAAATATAATATGACAGAGTGATTGAAAATATCATTTGATGGTAAAAAAAAGCTATGTTACTTGAATTCATATTGTTGACAATTTACATAAGCAAATTTATTAACAAGTCATAGTGCAATGATTGACAAGTCATAATAAGTCTAATGACAATGCAGTGTGTAGGTAATGACAACTGAACTGACAACAAAATCTAACATGCCAATTCATAGTCAACTTTCATTTACACCTTCATATACATGAAACTACACCTATTTCACAGCTCATCCCAAAAAAAAATAGGGGTTGCATGTAATTACAAAACTAATTAGTGGTGTGTATCTATTTTGCAAAAAAAATTCCTTCACACCTATTTACAAAATATTCTCTTCACATCCATATACAAAAAATAGCTGACTTTAATATGTTCTCAGTTGGGATTTCGGTTCTTGCATGTCTTGTACAATGTTTTTCGGAGAGCAGTGGCATTTGGAAATATTTGTCCTTCTCCAATAATCAAATCCTTCCATTTTATGGAATTTATTTGTGGTGTAGGTGTTGGGATCATTTCAACAGCACAAGGAATTGATGATGGCTCTCCAATCACATCAGATAAGGTAGGTGAAGACATAGACAATTCATTGACACCTCCAAATGATTGATCAATCCTGCAGGAAATGACAAGTCAAGGTGCATACATTGACAAGTTGGTAGTAAGACAGTAACAACTAACATACTAAGAAATGACAATAATAGTTTTGTTAAACTAAACTTACATATCTTGTTCCTCTATTGTATTACCCCTTGTTGTTTTTATGTAGTCCTTATTTCTATTCTCTTCTACATACACATGACTACTTTCTTCATTGAACTTTATGAAATGTTCTACTCCATCATCATCTACCAACTCCAGAAAAGTTTTTTTATCAAACACAATTGAGAATTTCAAAAGAAATGAGTTGCTTTCTTTTCCAGCAATTGATGATATTATCTCCTTCAATTCTTCATAACTTGTGCCTTCCTTTACATTTGTTGTTCTCACACTACCTCCCACATATCTCATATCGTCTTCTCCATCATTTATAAACTTTCCCTCTATGTGAACAAAGCAAAATAGATGATTTACAGATGTATTCGCCATCAGTAATTTAAACCTGCATCAAGAATCACGCAACTGTCATTGACAAGTCAAGAAGCTATATTGATAAGTGTCGTGGCACACATTGACAACTATCACGGCCTGATTGACAACACAATATCCCATTTCGTGCTAAGGGTTTCTACCCACACTAACCTTCATCTTCTTCTTCCTTTGCCACTAAATTAACGTCAGAATATAGCAAAACCACTCACAAGCAACCCAAAAACAGAGTACCCATGATCATCCTCCACACCGAACTTAAATCACCAACACACACCAACCAAAAACACAGCTTCTCCATTGATTAACTTGTGAATCCTAGACCAAAAACAAAAGTTTTGCAGTACTAAAGGCAAAAACAATTTTCTGATTTTCCATTTCCAAACAAATGCACAATTTGTCAAGAAAGGTAGGAGAGGAGAGGAAAGAAAGTTCTACACTTGAAGATTTGTGGAGATTCACATAAAAGCTCTTTGGAGTTCACTAATGGTAATGGAAAAGATACTTCATCATCAATGGCTTATTCCCTCTTTTTCAACTTCTTTTCTCTCAACCATATTACGTGGGAAACTCCTCACCCACCGTCTTTGTTTTTGATAGTTAGGGCAAGAGGATAGTTAGGGTAAGAGTGTCATTTGATGATTCTGAAAATTGCACACAAGTCCTTTTGGAACTTCAAAAACATTATGAGATTTCAGGAGACTTTTTTGCTGTGTTTATGCTTGTGTGGGACCTTAATGCCATTTTCCCTTAAAAAAATGTGTTTCTTCTTGGAAACATTAGCGGAATGGCGGGAATGAAATTATTCGAAAACAAACAAAAATGGTCATGCCATCTCAGATCTAACCCCACTCTACCTAACCCCCTCGTGACACGTAATCTTACCCAACTTTTTGCATGAACATCCACCGGCGATTCAACGTCACCATCTCCTCTCTTATAAACGCAAAGGAAAAAAAATTAATAAGGACAAATTTTAAAAATTTTATCAATTTAAGATACCCTATATTTAATTACTTAATTTATAAAAATGAATTATAAGTAATTTATAGTAGAAACCAGAGTGTAATAATTTTTTTTCAATCTATCATTTCCTTATGACAAAAAGGAGATGATGCACACTACCAAAAAAAAAAAAAAAAAAGGAGATAATGCACCCTTCACATACGATGCTGTTTGCAATTTTCTTATATATAAAGCATTTACTCATCGGAACAATGCGCGATAATTATATCAAATGTGCCCACATTTAAAAGCATGAATTTAACCCAAAAAAAATATTCTGAGGTATGTGAAGCCAAACTACAAATACATTTACTACCTCAGTCCTTAATATAACAATTATTTAATTAATTTGAGTAGATTAAGAAAATTTATTTAGTTATTCGTAATAAATATATGTTATCTTTCCTATAATACCCTTGCTAATCATAAGTACTACTTCCCATTTTAATTATAAGACCTCATTTATAGTTATTAAATGGTAATTCTAGTTAATACTATCTCCGGTCCTAATTATAAGGCCTGGTTTGTAAACTACAAACCAGGCCTTATAATTAGGACCGGAGATAGTATTAACTAGAACTACTATTTAATGAAATTTTTAACATGTACAACTATTATAAAAATTACTTTAAAAAACATGAATAAATATAAAAAATAAAATGAATTAGGATCTTATATTTATGATCAAATTAAATATTAAACTAACTTTTATAATAAAGATCAGAGGTAGTACTAAAATGCTTTTATTTGCATATGTAAAAATTTCCCTCGCCACTCGATCCAATTGATAATATAATTGTATATATGGATAGATCCTGTTGAATGTTATAGTTTATTAGTTTATGAGTTATGTCCAATATTTCAAGTAATAAATACATAATGTTTATGAAAGATCATGCTTGTATTTACTGATTTATAACTATAAAATTTGATTTATACTTAAGTCCCATTTCGCTCCTTTATTCCTTAATGTGAAAATTACATTTGAGTAAATAAAGGAAGATAAATAATTTTCTTCCAAGAAAAAACTCATCTACACTTTCATCATGCCATATATGATATTTTTTTACAGCTCTCATATCTCTACTAGAACTTTCTTTCTTTAGGGGCGTCGAACTGTGGGTACAGTTGAACAAGAGGTTTCATTAATGGCATTGTTCATGTTTATATGAGAAAAGAAAAATTATATAATTTAAATTGCAGATTAATTCAACCAATCAATTCATAGCTAAATTTAAAAATCAGTTAGATGTTAGCAATAAAAAAAATTAAAACTAAAAAAAGAACAAAAATGACTTGATAATTTTACCCCTCGTTGATCTTATCCGGCAAGGACGTTCAATTATTGTATTTCATTTTCTCCCTTTTTAATTACTTTTTCCAATCTTTAGTATAATAATTAAATAACTAGTTTGTTTATGTATATTAAAAAAATTAGTTAAGTTAATTATTTATAACAAATTTATGCTGATTTTTTAATCTACTATATTTAATTATGTGTATTGAAATCTTTTTAATAAATAGTACAATCAAAGAGATAATTTAGGAAATTTTAAAAGTTAAAATGGACTGTATTCTTATACTCTTGTATAAAACTAAATTCAATCCACAAATAACTCTTATGTTAAACACTGTAAGTAATATTTGCTAACTTCCTTTTGGCCAGTTAGTTAATAAAAAATAGTAATTGTTTTGGGACTAACTGTCATTACTATTATTAAAAATTTAAAATCACACATAATTAAAATACATCTCACCAATAAAACTGAAAATGAATAAACTAAAAATTAATTAAACTTAAGCATTGTGGTTGAAACTTACAACTTGAAAGCGAGTAGTTTTACCGAATCAATAACGAATCCATGATTTAAAACATTTGTCTATTTCCCTTACCGAACGCTCTTCTGGAATATATAAATCCAGACGCGTAGAAGAGAAGGCCAGCCATATCCGATTCAAATTGAAGCTACCGAGTCAAAGGCAGCAAACTCTGTATATATTAGAGTATAATACTCTATATATAGATTCATAATTCCGACTTGGTTGATCAGATTTTTGTGTTAGAGAATCATAATCTCCAAATTCAGCGATCAAAAACAATAATGGCATTGAAGGATACGTTTTACATCTCCCATGGATCTCCCACTCTGCCCATTGACGATTCCATTCCGGCGTCGCAATTCTTGAAGAAGTGGAAGGAGTTTTATCCCCAGAGACCCTCCGCCATCCTCGTCATTTCCGGCCACTGGGATACCGCCGTTCCCTCGGTCAACGTCGTTAACCGCAACGACACCATCTACGACTTCTATGGCTTCCCCAAAGCTTTGTACAAGGTTTGGATTCCGCCTAATTATTAATCTCATAGAAACAGAAACCCTTCTGTTTTAATACTGATAATGATAATAATGATCAGTACCTTTTCGACTAAGCAAGTATTTTTGAAACTATTAGAGATGATGGAGGTCCTTTTCTGTTTTTGGCATATTGATTGGCCTTCAATTTAAATCATCAAGATCTATAGAAGCAGGAAGTTGATTGATGATACTGAGCTCTGGAATGTGGCAGCAGAAAGCTATAGAAATTATGATGATGATAAAGACTTGAAACACCTAATTTTGGTTCAACTTAGTATTGTAATTACGGTGTGTTTAGTTGATGTTTATGAGGTTCATTTTGCTGACTGTCTCCTTCATTACTCACTTACCAGCTTAAGTATCAACCACCCGGAGCACCCCAATTGGCGAGGAGGGTGAAGGAACTGCTGCATCAATCTGGATTCAGCCGTGTTGATGAGGACAAAAAGAGAGGGCTTGACCATGGAGCTTGGGTTCCACTCATATTGATGTACCCTGAAGCTGATATCCCAGTTTGTCAATTATCTGTTCAATCTGATCAGGATGGGACCTATCACTATAACATGGGAAAGGCATTGGCCCCTCTTAAGGATGAAGGTGTCCTCATAATAGGTTCTGGGAGTGCAGTCCATAACTTGAGAGCACTTAACATTCAACCTAACCCCCCTGTTGCTTCCTGGGCTAAACAATTTGATGATTGGTTAATTAGTTCTCTCCTTGAAGGAAGGTAGGTCTATTTTTTCTCTCTCAGTTTCATTTAATGGTCCCATCTATTTTCTCACCTGCCTTCTGTTGCACTGCAATTATGATATTATTCTTGAGCCCGCTTGAGAAGAATTGAACCTGACATATTTCTGTTTACCAATTGAGCTAACCCTTTGGACCTCTGTTTATTCTGATAAATGGAAAAGCTGAGCTATGAAACTCCAGTTTTTGTCATAATCTTAAATGGTTTAATTACTGAGATATTCCCACAAAGCTTAAAGTTCTCATTGATTGATATTAATTATTTACTGTAGGTATGAAGATGTGAATCATTATGAACAGAAGGCACCACATGCAAGAATGGCTCATCCATGGCCGGATCACTTTTACCCACTGCATGTTGCATTAGGAGCTGCTGGTGAAAATGCTAAAGCCAAACTAATCCATAGTGGAATTGAAATGGGCACTCTCTCGTATGCCTCCTTCCAGTTCACACCAGCATCATCATCCTCCTGAGCTCTTTCCCCCTAACTAACTCATCACCATATTGCTGTATTACTTGTTGCTGCTGTTTGCTGTTGTATTTTGCCTGTCTGTAAATCGTACTTCTGTTTCTGTGATGCTTTTATCAGTATTGATGTCTAATGAATTATTGTGGTTACCAATAAAAGAAAATTTTAAGGACTTTCTTCTTGGTTGTTGACTTTGATGGTTGAAATATTGTGGTTCCTAAGGACGCTAGTTTATATGAGCAATTTAAGACAAGAGAATTGATGAACAATACAATCTCATCATAAGTGTCCATACACTAATAAGTTTAGAGAAAATGATCTTTGGATTATGAGGTGATATTGAAGAATTCTGTAAAAGTCTCGGCTTCATATGCCTCAAAATACAGTGGATTTTACCATTATAAAGACCACTTAATTATTAATTGAAGTGATATTGTTCTCTTATTATCTGAAACTTCGGCAATGGAAGAAGAATGTTTGAAGGATGTGTGTGAAAATAAGCTTTGAATCGTTGTTTGAGTGATGCAGAAACAAACCCTGTCACATGGAATGAACTTGGAGGAGATACTGTCCAAATTAAAATCAATATATCAAATATTGCCCTCCTTTTTTTTTTTTTAATAAAATGATCAATAATATAAAACTAGATATTTCCCCTCTTGGAAGCATGTGCAATTATGGATTTTCAGAAAGAAATGTATAAATTAAAGAAGTACACATTATTTGCGCATTTAAGAAAATATCAGAATAGTAAATGAATGGTAATGTTTGGTTTAATTTAAAACTATATTACCTTTCGTTCGAATTTTAATTTTTCACCAAAATAATGTCCTTTTACCAAAAGACACATGAGACATATGAAACAAAAATTGTAATTTCAAACGATGGGCCCTAACATGGTTGCTATTTAGCTGAGTTCTTTAAGTGTCGAGTTAGGGGTTTGATCCTTGACGATGTACATAAAGAGAATATTATGGTTTGCACTAAAGGTCTATTTAGTATGAGAAAAATAGAAGTAAGGGGAGGGGAGGGAAAATTTTGAGGAGTTCGATTTAAAAAACTAAAAAATTGGGACTAAAAACTTTTAATTAATTTTTGTTGCTCTTTCATCTTACTTAATCTCTTTATTAAAATTTTAAAAACCTACTTCTCTAAATTTTTAAATCTAGCTCATTACAATTTTTTCTTCCCTCCCATCTCCTTTCTTCCATTTTTCTCGTACCAAACATAGGGTAAAGCCCTTTTAGGAAGTGTATGGTGAGAACAAGGGGATTAGTCATTGCTACTGGCAAAAGATACCCTGGGCTCAACAAAAAAAAATTATCATTTTGATCTAACTGTTTAAAAGCATAAAGTATTGATAAAATCTATTCTTGTGAAAAAAAGAACAATTATATCCATCATCTCAAATTCTCCAATTACCTATTTTTAAAATATTAGCATTTAATAACATTTAATTATAAATACACACGAAACATAAAAGAACACATGCTTATGCATGATTAGAGAACTTAAATGAATATAAGAAACTTGACCTAATTTTTTTTTATAAAAAAAGTCATCCGAATAGTAACTAAGGCAATACAAGATATTTTCACTAAACAAATTATAATTATAATTTCTGCCAAAAAAACTTAAAATAATAATTACAATACAGTGTATAATTAAAGAAATAGATGAAAATTTTGTATAACCTTGGTAAACTTTATGAGAGATTGATGTAATTTTATTGACAGTTTTTTTCATTGAAGACATTTTTAAAAAAAAATTGAGAATGTAAGGTTTAATCAATAAATGTTGATGGGTTATGCTAAGTCAACAAGAGGGGAAGAAAAGGAACAAGAAAACATAAAACTGATGCAAGAGACAAATAAAATTCCTCCAAGAGGGAAATGATATGATATGAGCAACAGCCACTATTCTAATATTATATTGGATAATCATTTAATAATATCTAATATAACGATGTATTATTAAGAAATGCTTTATTTGCATTAATTGACTCGATCAATTTTGACGACCAGGAAGCTTCCTAAACCAATCAATTTCAAGATTGTCGGCTATTGAAAAATTGAAAAAAGAAATGTATTTAAAATATCATAATTTTGGAGATGAGAGTCTGTAATTGCCAATTGGCTCTCCCAATCTTTTATTATTTCGAAAGTCTTGGTCAAACATTGCACTTTTTAATTCCTATTCAGCTATTTGACTGTTTGGAAAAATGATAGCACATCAAAATTTTGTTTTCCTTAAAGTTCATTTTTCATATAAATTTCCATATAAGGGCAATCTTGTATTATGTGTTAATGAAATTTTCACATGTATTGTAACCAAAAAATAAAAAAATTCACATGTATTGTATTCATTTTTAATTGATTTCTTGAAATGATTAATAAATTCCTTAATATCTAAGGAGAATAGTTGTCATGCATTTTTCAATTGTCACTAGATCTTGACTAACTATACAATATTCCTAAAATTTCTTGGTCAATGATATTCTACACATGAATGAAAGCTTAGAGTAATAGAAAGAGAAAGCATTTATAAATTATTACAATTATTTGTGGGCTCATCGCGGCCCATAGAGCCCAATATGTCAACTTTCTATCAGCCCATAAGATGGCAAGTCTATAATTTGGGAATGCAATTCCTGTGTATTCTGTTGCAACGGTTAGGCCCATATGTATGATTTTGTTAGGCTGGTTCGATCTGACCATGGCTCAGCTCACAGTGATCTGCTGTTTTCTTTTTCTTTTTTTGAGATTGGACAAAAGTGAGACAAGATAAAAATATCTCGAAACGGGATGAGTCACACAGTTTTGTCCCGATATATTATTTTTTTAATTGTATAAATATATTTTACTCATTATTAATAAATTGATATTATCATTTTTATGATTATGTTGTCTATAATTTATAAGTTTTTTAATATAGGTTATATGATGTTTTTTAAATGATACTTTCAGTTTATATATATTTTTTATCTTTCAAAAACAAGCATTTTTCTTTGTTAAGTTTTGATTAATCTTAATTTATTATCCCATTTTATTTTTTCTTTATATAATAATTTTTACTATGAGTTTTTATGCTCTAAATACATTTAGTTTTAAAATAAAATAATTTAATTTTTTTTAAAAAAATAAACAAGACATTCCTATCCTATCTCGATGTCTCGATCATGTCCCATCACAAAATGTGATACTATTAGGATGGGATGAGACATGAGATAGAAAGGCCATCCTGCCTCAATAATTAGGATGAGCTTGTCCCAATTTTATCTCATCTCATGGATACCCTTAACTTGCAACACATTTTTGTAGCTTTCTTTCTTTTTATTTTTTTCCAAGTAATTGATGTGGCTTTTTTTTCCCCAGTGATGACTGGTCTATACGGAGATTCTTTGAACTTTTATGTATTTAACCTAATTTTAGACGTTATTTAAAAAGGACCAGAAGAAAATCGAAAACGACATTCAATTAAATCATTAAATAGGATTTTTTTTAATTAGTAACAATAAATCGAAAGATTTTATTGTGGATAAAACTCAGGAAGATGGTGCAATCTATGTGGCCAATCACTATTGTATATAAGTTGAGGTGACTTGAAGGCGATGAAGTGAGTGTCATTATGTGATATGGGCGGTTCAAAGCGGATACGCATGAGTTTGAAGGACAGGCGACTTTTTGACCAACATTGCTTAATTAAGCTAATCGCTTTGATTATCGTTGCTTTGAAGCAACATATGTATATAATTAATTAAGTAGCATTATCAATTAGTTAGTGTATATTTATGCATGTCTGAGTGGTTGTTGGGGGTTGTCTTATGTGTGTTTCAAAAAGCCACTGCTTTCAACTAATTAATCCAATGCTTCAAGCCTTGCAAACCATTTTTAATTGCTACTACCTTAGTGCTATCCAACACTTGGCCTCAATACATAAAATGGAATCAGATGGTTTTTTTGTTTTGTTTTATTTTGATAATATCAAAACAACAGTATCAAAGACAGGATAATTGTATAAACAGTAGTGTCAACAAGAAGTTGTCGTAATAATAGCAATATTATTCGACACATTTGGATGAGGTTTCAAATTTGGGCTTGATATTAATATTTTTGTATACGCGCATGTGTTTAATTCCATGGAATTAATTGCTCTTAATTATTATATTAATCACTTGTTTGGTTAAATGTATAAATTAAATGTGTGAGCTTGACTAATGAGATTAATTAGTAAAGAGGAAAGAAATTTTGGTTCATTAATAGTTAATAGTATTTCTTAATTCTCAATTTTTGTGCCACAACTTTAGATGACACATTAGAAATAAATGCGGGAAATAGGATAAAAGTCGAAATTCAAATAATTGTATGCACATAGCTGAAAAATTATTCCATTATTGAAATTAAAGAGCTATGTGATATATAATTAACTTGAGTTTTGGGGTAATATCAACCTCCATGTTCTCTAATAAGTGTGGGAAGGCAGGCATGCGCGTACCTATATATTATAAACCTATATGCATTAGGCCCAATCTTTCTGTCTACAATTACATTAACATCAATCAAAACTCTATATATGTGCACTTAATTATTTGCCTGCCTAAATTACTGTAGCTAATAATATTTTCACATTATATACTACCTTCATTCCTTAATAGAAGAGCTTAATAACTAATTTATAAATATTAAAAAAATTAGTTAAATTAGTTATTTATAACAAATTGATTTTTTCTAAAATATTTTTGTTAATCATGTATATTAAAATGAATTTTTTTTGACATATATAATCATTATAAGAACTACTTAGGGGGAAAAATAAATAAAGATGGGACACAAAGTGAATTGTGATATTATATTTAAGACTAAATTGAATTTTCAATTGCTTCTTACTATTATATTTAGGACCGGAGGTAGTGTATGTATATATGCATTTTGTTTTATTTTTTTTAATAGTTGGTTACTTGTTTCACCTATTATTATATTTCATAAGGAAACATATAAATATATAGCCTGAAAATAAATGGTAAACAAATACACTCCAAAAATAATTAATGCCTTATTGACAGATATTTAATTTATAACAAAATCAAAGCTCTAAAGTGACGTATATTCTAAATTGGAGTAGCGCACACACACACACATATATATTATATAGTGCATAATCAACGAAGTCTTAT